ACACTATCCCTTGGAGAAGGATGAGGAAAAAATTCTTATTTTTTTTACAATGGGTTAACTCTTTGAGTACCGTCATTATAGACACAATTAAAGAACAATAGGTTGCGGACACCAGTGTCCTCGCGGTGTTTGACAGTTTAAATAATAATGGGAAGAACGCATATAAGACAATGTCTCATCAACTGCCCTCTTATTTAACACAGTACAACACACTTTATACACCGTAACAAGACAGTTGTTAATAAAAAAAACATTAATTACTTTTTCAAAGGAAATTGTTACAAAATAAAAACCTTTTAAAGGAAAGCCTTGTCAAAATACTAATGCATTGTTTTATGTGTCAGACAGAGTAACATCACAGATAATAAACATTGATGTTAACAACTAATTACAAATGGGCAAATATTATTATGAGATAAAATAAAATAATGGATGGGTCTACACTTGTCCGAAAAAAGACATATTTTATGTTAAAGCCTTATGTATTTCCGTTTCATATTGCGAACTTGACTGACATTTGTGTCAAGATTATTTATATGTATTTTTTATTCCTGTTATCAAATCTTGTATTTTTAATGGGGTTAGGGTAGCATTGTGTAGAGACATATTGATTGAATATTAATTAGTAATTTACAATGCACATAACTGATGTATTTTGCCAATGTGAATAGTTGATCCATTGTTTTGTACTTAGTTATCAGTAAGTATTATAAATTGTAAGTATATATATATATGACATAATTATACATGCTATTTACAAATTCCTTTGTAACCTTAAATAAATAACAAAATAATACACAAAATTATAATCCAGGAGAGAGGTATGTAAGAATCGTAGCAATTGGCATTTCATAGTATCTGCCTACCCACATGGGAGACAGGCGTAAAGTTATGTATGATATACCCTAGGTATCTCTTGTCAAATCATATTATAAATGCGGAAGTTTTTTTTTATGGATATATGGTAAGCGGTCAGCGCCGCCTATGCACACCCGCAACACCAGAGGAGTCACAGGTGCGTTGGCGGCCTTTTAAAAAGGAATACTCTCTTTTATTGAAGGTTTGATAGTCGTATCGGTTCTGAAATACCATATACTTACAAATAATTTTGTATGTGTGTTACTCTTTCACACCAAATGGCTAAAGGGATCAGGATGAAATTTGGAACAGGGGTAGATTATAACAGCCGCTAGCAGAAGCTGATAAATAAATAAACTTAAGATTCCCATAAATAGCCATGCTAGTTAAGACAGTTTCAAGAATGAAACAACCCTTTTTACGCCACTACAGTAAACCAAAAGGAGGGTTATGATACTATGCTCAATTTTAATAATTCTGTGGCTCAAACTGTACTGAACATCAAACCAATAAGGAAGAAAAGAAAATAAGTACCTATAACTTATAAATCATAGTATAAGATGACTTGATAATACAAATTTATGTTTCATACAAGTGCTGCCTAGCCCAAAATAGATAACCATTAGAGAAATAGAATCATGATACACTTGTTTAATTACGCCATTGGATGAAAGTGGGCTGTTGCCATTCGAGTAAGTGCCGACTTTTTCAATGCCAGATAATTATTGTATTTAACTCGTCGAGTACCATATTTATAGACACAATTAAAGAACAATAGGTTGCGGTCACCGGTGACTGTTTGGTGTTTGACAGTTTAAGGAATAATTTTGAAACTTTGACAATTCTTTCAAACTATTCAAAACAATTCTTGTAAACACTGAAATGTTAATTTTATTTATTTATTTCCTCTTTACCAAAGACAACAGTGAATGGCGGACTTAATTCCTTAAGGCATTCTCTGACAGTCAACGATAGGGAAGTGCAGAGAAATGAAGTGAGAATTTTATTCTACAGTTAAGAATTATTTGTTGATTCAAAAATCGGGCGTTAGATGACTAAAGGGAAGGTCATTGTTCAGCAGTGGAGATCTTCCAGCTGATGATGTTAATGACTCTATTGGCCAGTCTCAATAATTTATTTAATATCAATAGACTATGTTAGTACAAGATCTCCCAAACTATAAATCACAACCCATTGATGGGTTGCAAGTGAAAAATTAGTGGGCCTTGTCTGTAGAAAGACACATTAACTCTTTGAGTACCGTTATTATAGACACAATTATAGAACTATAGGTTGCCATCACTGGTGACCGTGTGGTTTTTGACAGTTTAACTAACCATTCTGCAGTTTATTTTTCATATTGATAACGGTTTAATTCCCTGAAGGTGTATCCAGTCCAGACAACTTTAGGAACTACTGTGCTAGTGGAATACATAATTTTGATACATTTTGTGTGGAGCTAACTAATGTTTCTGAAATGAGGTCAAGAATTTGTCTCTCAATGACCGGTCTAAAAAATTTATTATCAGTAGGTTCATCTCCTAGATGGAATATTGAGTCTGGCCATAAATAACCACTCTTTTGACCTCAATTTTTCAAGTTATTTTAATATTTTTCCTGATTGAAAAGACAATGGAGTTCATTAGTTTTAATTTGGGTACAGCATAGCCTACCTATAAGCCCTTGGTACACATATGTGTACTAGGTAGCTTCTGTGACATATAAGATATAGATAATTATATAAATTAAATCTAGATAAGTATATTATGATAACTTTAAAAAGTTCTAAGAAATTACTCATATTTTCTAGGTATATTAATGATGACACATTATAAAGGTATCTTTACATATTTATGTTATTCATTTAGGATTACTAACTATAGACTCTTTGAAGTTATGATGTAATTAAATTAATGAAGAGTAGTGATTAATTATATTAGTATATCATGTTTAATTTTTAAGATATAGTATAAACCAATGTAATATGAGTCAATTAATTTATGATTGATGATTGTTAAAATCAAATATTATAATAAATAATTATGTAGGTTACTAAAATAAATGAGCAGGAAAAAAATAATGACCACAGAATATAAATCTTTAGTTTTAATTGAGTATTATGAGCAGTGCGTATAATAACTGGCCACATTCACAGTGATTTTAAATAAAGAACAGCAAGAGAACAAAGAGATGTGATGTGTTTTGAATATCACAACACCTCTGGGTGTGTTCAACACTAATTAGTAAACCAGACTCGTCCTGCACTCAAGGTCATTGGTAGCACGTGTTTTTTATCATTAACATCAACCAATAAACAATATGCAGCACCATATCATCGTTTCAGAATAAATTCCAGACGATTATAAAAAAAAATTCGATAAAAATATTTTCTATCACAACGAGATTTTTATTGATGTTTTTAACCGAGAAACGCCCGAGAAAGTGTCAAACCAGCGTCAGTATCGTCTTAAATACGCGTAAATTAGAGATTAAAGTATTTTAGAAAGGCCCCCTACCTTGTATACATCACCGTAGGTTCCCGAACCGATTCTCTGAATGAGTTCATACTCATCTTGTGGGTTCCTCCGAGATATATCCGAACTCAAAACACCACCACTATGCGCCATAATCACTATTGAACACTAAAATAACATTTATCTACACTTTCATCTCATCATTCACATAATTATTAACACAAAACGTCGAGAAATTAATTATTTTTCTATCACTCGACATCGTCTGACGTTTGCCACAGTGCCATTCTTTGTGTTGCCAGGCGGAGGTTTAAATTGCTACCATTAAGGTTTGGCAGTCTACCAATTGGTAATTTTTACTTAGAAATAAATCCCCACTTACTAGCACAGAACAAAGACACCCCGATAAGAAATTTCTTAATAGTTTATTAAATTTGCAGTCATTGTTTATAAAATATTAGCAATAAAAGTGATGTTGAGTAGTTTCTACCATATTTCTTTTTATTTGTCTCTTGGTCACTCTCTAATTTGCTGTCATTACTTGCATTGTTTGTGGTAAACCATAGGTAATGTTATTTAATTTTTGTAGTCAATTTAAAAACTGAGTCAAAATATATATTTTACGCACATATCGCATTTTGATCAAATTTCGATACACTACCCTTCTTTGCATTCAATATAAAAAGAACTTATGGCTGTGTTGATCGAACTGTCCGAACTAACCGGTGATTAGTCCAGCGACGGACATAGATTCAATTCCCGACTTAGCCGGCAGTTTTCAGCCTAGTCCATTTTAACCACATTATACCCACTTCGTAATTAATACCACAGAGGACGCTAATCTACACGGTTTATATCCCATTATTATGGCATTATACTTCCTTAGCTTAATAAGTAGTAATATATCCATGGAACTCATTGTTGATTTAATTGCATGAGAATCCACCCCTAAGGATTATTTGCTACAGCCAGACTCTAGCTGCTCAATGGCTCAATGTTTAGACACACTTTTAGGAGCAAATGCTTTGATGCTAAAAGTACACTTTAAAGAAATCTCAAATCCACCAATTACATGTGTCGCCTAGTACACATTTAATTATTCTTCTAAAGGAATTTGAAGTGGCCTACTCAACTGCTGATTGGTAGGCACTTGCTATATTACTTTAATTATAACATTCCGGTACAATCATGATCGAATCGACGACCTATGCATCAATCAACTGTTAGAGTTGTCTGGAGTCAAACTCAGACTACTATAAGCTATGGTCAAACTCCAACAAATATTGGATTGTCATAAATTGGTTCGTAGGAGTTCAACCCGCGACAAGTTGCGCGATGGGCAAACAACATCACTGCACAACTAAGGAAAGGACCGTGTGGTCACGGTAAAATGGAATACGCTATTGACTGTTTGTATCTGTCTGTACCTTTTAAACGTCTCCAACCCATATGCAAAGAGGGAACAAGGGAGGAGGAAGGAATTATATGGAAAATCCACTTATGTAGAGGAATCCCGGTTTTACCGTATCAATAGATACAGGAATGGGATGAATTAATATTAGAACATATTCTCAATATTTATTCAACTCTCGAATTTATTCATACTCCATTTTACGGTAATCCAGCAGCGGACCGTAACAGGCTGCGAATATGAATTATATGGCCATAAAAGTTATCCATAAATTAATAATTATAGTGTAAGTTGTAAGGTATGTAGAGTAAGATAAAACAATAAAACAAAGCAAATAATGTTAAAATGGTATATTTCTTACAATCCATTCCTTTAGCCGGCTACCATGTAACATCTTACAAAATTTGTTTTACGCCGACATCTTTTAACACCTAACACTTTATTATAAAATTATATATCTTTTGGTACATCCTTTTATATTTTTAAGTGCACTTTTCTTTTACAATCTTTACGTCGTATGTGACGTAAAGGCTACTCGAGTTAAGCATTCGGGGAAATTTTTAATTTCCTAAAACAAAAGTAATCATCGCAATACGCGTCGGCACTACGGTTCTATAATCTTTGTTCAAATTAACTTTTAAATGTAACGACTGCATCAAATAAGGTCTTTGTTATTGTGGTCCTACCATCGCGTACTCTAATACATTGGATTGCTCATAATTGATTGTAAATAGCAACAATATATGTGTTGAGTAAAACACTTTCATGCATGTTGTACGATACAAATAATACTAATACTAGAAGGTATTGGACTGAACATATCTTACGATGGACGTAGCAACCCATTAAACAATATTCATATACAACTATGAAAGTACTTTACTCACATAAAACATTTGTATAAGCTATAAAATCTAGTTGGGTATTCGTAATATATATTTGAGCTAATATATATAACAAAATCTGCTGATATATACTACTTTAAAATATCTATTTCGTCAATTTTACATGCAAATAATTTTCAAACTTAACGGCAATTTTCGCTAGACCTTCGGGTATCTCCGTCACAAGCGAGTTTAACCGAAGTTATTTGGTGAAAAAGAGAGCAGTATGCTCAATCTCGTTTCTTTTTGGAGTCCATAGAATTTTGACAAACAGCCGAGAACGTATTACATAGATTATAACATTGCATATTCTTTCTATAATCAGTCATGAAACTGAATTTGGCGCACTTAAATTTCAACAACTTTCATTAAAGTGTAACAGCATGCAACAATTCATTTACAATTTGTTTAACTAAAATTTTGAAAGTTAAAACATACAGTCAAGCTTAACCAGCTAATATTTATATTTATCAACTTCAGTGCCTTTTCGTATCACGAGACAAGAGAGTAACGTGTAAATTTGACAATGAGACTTTTCCCTTCCTTCAAATTTAATTATAAATAATTATTTTTTTAAACTCTTCCACCGAATTTGTACTAAATGCTATCATAGTATTTACAGGGAAGGGGACAAAAACAATATACGTTTTTATTTGGTAAAAGCGCTTAAAACGAGAAAAGAATTACATTACGAATTGTTTACGGGTTGTTTAAATTTTGAGATGTCTTTTTTGTAATAAATTAATACATTTGAGAGATTTAAGATTCGAGTCCCAGCATTGATTAAGTTAATACCGAAGAAATAAATAATTTCGTTCGGATAATGCGCCGAAACGAAAACATTGAAAGGTTAAAAAAGATATAAATATCACGTTGAAAGACAAGATAATTTTTTTTAGTTTTCTAAGTTTTTATAAACAACCCCTACACAATTTAGGAAGTATTAAATCGTGATTTTTATAAACAATTACAAATAATTTCGAACGCGTAATATATAAGCGGGATCATCAAGCATGCTTTGGCACTTTCACCATAAATAAATATATATTCGTTTTTTTTTACATTTTTGCAAAGTGGAAGAATGAAGTACATATTGTAATACAAACGCCTATTATATCGAAGGGAACATTTACAAATTTAACCTATTATCCTATTCAAACAAATATACACACACAAACAAAGTAAGTCATTTATATAAGTTTACTGAAAGAGATCTGTGAACGATTTAGAAATGTTTATATTCAAACTTGTGGGAATTTAGTGACTCTACAGACGTGGCCGCGCGAGCGAGCTCGAGCCGTCGCCCACGAAGACAAATCACAACAATGAAGCAAGGTATTGTAGCACTATAAATAATAAATTATAATAACTCACAAAATAATTTTATTCAACTACAGAACAGTGCTCAATCACACCAATTTACCTATGTTTTTTAATTAATTATTTTCTTTATTTTTTCATTATTCTAATCAAAAATACATAATGACCAACTTCAAAGAATTAATTCTAATGGTAATAATAAGGGAAAAAAGTATCTTAAAAATTAATAGTAACGGTTTAAATAAAAGGATAATAAAAAATAAAAACAGGTCTAACATTATTATTGAAAGAACTAGTTTACAGAGGTTTTCTACATTTTTAAAAAGAAATATAACTTACTCATTTCGTTCTCGTCGAATAAATAATTCTTTCCTCTGCCGTGTAACGTCTACGCGTGAGCAAAGCGTCCGTAATTTTATTGCATCACTATTCTGTCTCATTTGGAATTTGAGGTTAGCTGACGCCGCATGGGGTTTATATAACTAGGGTAGTTGCCTCGAGGCGCAACAGTCTATGAATTGTCTATACGATATATGGGGGAGAGGGAGGAACGACTTCACCTGCGGCCGGGCCGTCCTCGGCCGCGCTTGGTTTTGCTGGGTTTAGGTTTAGCTTTAGCTTTGGCGGGGGGAGCGCGTTTGGCTTTGGTGTGGGACTTGGAGCTCTCCACCGACGTGACGCGCGCCGAGTCGAAGGACGCCGCCAGCGCCGGCACCTCGGACGGCGACAGCGACACCTCCAGGCGCCGCCGCCGCGACCGCGTCATGCGCACCGAGCCGGCCTCGGCCTCGGCCTCCACGTCGGCGGCCGCGGGCGCCGGCTTGGCCTTGCGAGCGCGCAGCACCTTCCTGTCCTCCACGACGGGCTCAGTGCTCGGCTTGCTAGAAGCTCGCCCGTTCTGCCCCTTCTCCCTCAACACGGGCTTAGTCAACTCCTCATACTTCCTCTTCCTCGTGACTCTAGTCACTACGGTTTTCTCATTCTCTATAGACTCTTTAGTGGCTCTGTTCTTCTCTGTACCGCTCTTACTCCTCAGTACACGTTTCTCTACCTGCTTGGTGGCTCGCCCTCGCGTGCCGTTTTCAACTTTACTACGTAATTCCCTTTCCCCGTTTATTTCTTTCTTAGGTTTGGGTTCAACTTTTCTGCGTTTCCTTGGTACTGGAGATTTAGATTTCTTAACGCGACTAGTTTTGGGGAATGCGACCTCGGTGCCGTCTAGACCTTGACTGCTCTCGATGTAGATGTAGTCGTCTAGTTTGGAGCGGGACTTGGAGTAGGTTTTTTCTACTGGTTTGACTGCGGGGACGTCGTCGTCGATGTCGTATGAAGGTTCGGGAGACTCTGCGACGGGGGTTTCTATGGTGTTAGCCTTGATGAGCTCGACGTCATTTTCTAGAGAGTTGTGGTTCATCCTGTTCTTCAGGTTATTGATGGTGTCAATGAGCGAGGTCTCCTTCTCCTCTGGCTCGGTAGTGTCTGACTGTGAAGTGCCCGCCTCGGAAGCGCTGGACTCGCGATGTTTGGTCTTGTACCTCCGCTTGTAGAGGTCTGCTTTGGTCATATCCTGTGGAAACAAATTATAAAACTACCATTAGTATAGATTATAGCTAGAGACATAATTTTTTAATAAAAGGTCCAGAATTATTAGCTAATTAGAATATAGAATATAGCTGAGAAAAAATAAACTATATTTAACATCGACTGAGAAGTTTTGGTAGTCTAAGCCGAAAGGGCCTGTTTAGGGAGATGCTATAACATAAGCAAAAATCATCCAACTTTTAAAGAATGAAGTGTGATTAGAACATAATTTAACATATATTAATAGATACTAACCGCAAGTTTAAAGCTACTGGGTTCTGGTATAGCGACGCCCAGCGCGGCGAGTAGCTCGTCAGTCCCGAAGCGTCGCAGCGGGTCCACGGCCAGTAGACCCATCACGATGCGCTTACTCTCTGTTGATATACTCTCCCAGATTGGACCTGTAAGGAGCAAATATGGATTATTGTAAGTTTTAACGTTGTGGACAATCGATTTTTTTTCTTCTAAAAAACGTTGCCACACACTAGTATTTTCACCTATGTCGTTTACAAATCACAATTTGTGGACACACACAAAGAGTTGTTCCGTGCGGGAATCGAACACGCGACGAAGCTACTGCATCAACCGTTACACAACACACAGAAACGTAAAGGTTATTTATTTAGGGTACGAATTTAAATTGCAATCTCTATATAATTATTTGTTTAGTTTGAAATACTCTTTCAGTTTATACAATCTAGAGATCAAACTAGACTTAACTGATGTCAAAATTAGTAGTCAGAATGGTAAATATGTCAACAGAGTATTTGACTGTATTTGAAATAAAGAATTACTTAACCAAAAATTCATTTTACTACCATATAGTCAATATAATTGTCACAATTATTCCACTACGTAAAAGTAAATAAAGATACACTTTTAGAAGATAATACTAACCGTCCATAGTAAAGTTGCCGGTTCGAATCCGATCCATGAACGCCGTGATAGGCTCCTTCTTCGAGACAGGCTGGAAGGGCGCTTTACCACTCAACATGTAGTACTGTAGGACAAACACATTATTATTAGTAAAAAATCCACAACAATAATAATTGTAAAAGTAGGTATGTAATTTAGTGTCTAAGTAAGATAGACTGGAAAGATGTTCAAATAAATACAAAATGAAGTTTATTACTTCAAAGGGCGTCATGAAAGATGAAATGTGCATACGAATATCATAATTTTCTATAAATTATGTTAGGTATAAGTCTTGTGTGAGAGACACTGAGTTTTGAGATTTCAGATTACGACTGATATTTTAAGTACTCTGTAACAGACACTGATTGTACTGTGATTTTAAGAAGATATCCTATGTCGGGATTCACATATTATGCATTACAGTTCCTGGGATTGTTGTTTTGTATCGACGCCACGACAACATTTACAGTAGTTTTGTGTGCAGTTTTGTGAATTATAATGTCTTTTTGTCACATAAAGTGTAGTATAGTTAAAATAATGGTGTATACGTACATAGACGACCCCGAGACTCCACAGGTCGCACTGCGGGCCATACCCGGGCGCCGCTGCACTGCGAGCGCGGGACACTACTTCGGGGGCCGCGTACGGGAGGCTGCAGGGAAGAAAGAAATACATTCTTAGTCTTTGTTTAAAGTAAATATTATAAAATACTAGCAAATCCGGCGAACTCCGTTTCGCCACTATTATATGGCTTCGTTTCATGTAACATTTCGTTTGGTGATTAAAAGATGAAGAAAAATTGTTTCCTGAATTTTCTTTGCTATAAACCTCGGAACCCGAGACCTTTCCAACGAATGCAAAACCGTGGAAATCGGTTCGTGCGTTCTGGAGTTATAGCGTCAGGAAGGAAAACTCGACTTATTTTTATTATAAAATATTAACAGAAATGAGAAACCAATAAGCAATGTTTCACTGTAGAACTCATAGATAAGTTTTGTCAGTTAGAGTGAAAAAGTATTAGAAATTTTAGCTACAAAATAACATATCTTTTTTATTACTTTAAAATGAATTCATAAACAAAATAACGTGCCTGTTATGCCCAAAAGGCAAATTATAAGATCAATATAAATATTCGGGTACATTTCTACACAATTGAATTGTATATTTTTTCATCACTAAGCAAAAAAAAGTATCTCATGGAGGTTATCTACATACCTGAAGCAAGGAGTCATCATCCTGGGCCTGTCCTCGGGACACTCGGGCGTCCGCCGCGCGAACCCAAAGTCCACCACCTTCACTTTTGCTTCTTCTAAACACCGCGTTGATAGCAAGATGTTCTGGTGGGAGAAAATTGATTATTAGTACAAAAATGGTAGTTAATTTAATAAGAGGTACTGTTAGCTTCTTGTATGTTGAAAGTTGTTGTCGGCCATAATGTGTTTTATACCGGAAGCCGGTGTTTCAACAGATAAGAGGTTATCTATTGGGGATAATTCAATTCTAATAAACTTCGTTAATTATCGAGGTTTTGACAAATGATGCATTCAACTTATGATCAGTTTTAATAAATAACCTGTAACTGCAGATTTGCTTTTTATGGGTATCTCCATATCGGTCACATTTTATGCCAAAATTGCATTCTCTATAATACAGCCTACATATAGAGTCTATAATGCTGTATCTACAGTATATAGACCTTGTATAAAATAAAAAACCTATCAGATCAGATCTAGAAGCAAATATATTACAAATATTAGTAAAAACAGCAATAAAACATACCTCTGGCTTAAGGTCCCTGTGCACGACTTTCCGTGCATGCATATGTCTGAGCGCGAGCGCGAGCTGGGCGAGCAGTCGGCGAGCTGTACGTTCAGCGAGCGCGCCGCCTGACAACTGAGACGCTAGCTCGCCGCCGCTAGCTAGCTCTGTTACTATGTATGTGAAGGCCTGCGGGACAAATTGAAATGGTTAGTATAAGTGTTAACTATTTTTCAAAGTTTTTAAATTACAAGTCAAAGTATCTTTGTAATTGACTAAGAATGTAATGGATGCTAACAAATCAATCAATATATCGCCGAAAGTATTCGTTTCTGTAAGAAAATAAAAATACGTGTCTAATGATTTTAAATAATCTACCAGACGGACATTAAAATAAAAATTAGGCATCTACCCTATGAATTAAAAACGATTTAGATTGATACTTTTACATACCGAGTCATGGAAGACCTCGTGCAGTGTGATGATGTAGGGACACCCCTGGCACGCCTTCAGCAGCTCGATCTCCTGTTTGATGTCTTTTTTCTGTGTTGATATAATCTGTACAGAGCAAAACAAACATTAGTATTGGCATGGACTGGACTATAAGTTTATTGTACATAGAAGGATGGATTGCTATAATCTCCCCGCCTGGTAGGCGAGTCCGAGATCGCAGGTTAAAAGATTCATGTTTCATCATTATCATTATCATTATCATCAACAGCCTATAAATGCCCACTGCTGAACAAAGCCCTCACACGGAGAAGGTTTGAGCATTAATCACCACGCTTGCTCAATGCGGGTTGGCGATTTCAAACATATAATTAGAAATTGTATTTTATATATAATATTATAATAATGTTTTCCTTCACCGTTTGTCAGTGGTGTCTAAATAATCTTATAAAGTAACAGAAATCTGGAATTCATGTTTATGAGTGCTATAGTCTCTTAGTTTCTGGATAGTGGTAAAAAGTAAGACTTTAGACAGACGGACCGCATTTCAATTGCCATTCAACTGCAATTTACAGTTCGAACGCAGTTGGCACAACGGCAATAGAACGGACTGTTCGTTTGGTTTGCAACCGTTTGGTCATGACGGCAATGGCACTGTAATCGAATTGCACGTTTGGTATTGCAGTTCAATTGCAGTCGTGTCAACTTCGTTTAAACTGCATCCTATCTGAATAAGCATGAATGTGTTGATAACTTCCTTTTGTATCCTAGTTTGTATCGTTTGGAAGGGTCTGAGGGACGTTCTGTAGTTTCTGTCTACTTTCATGGGATAAAAGTAAAAGAGGTATTATACATGGATGGTATGCTTACCTTGACAGCATATTCCTTTCCAGTCTGCCGGTGGATACACTTCCTGCAGACGGAGTAGGAACCATCGCCTAGCAGGGGAGTGCTCAGCTCCACTGAGTACTTTTGGAAAAATGGTGAGTCCTGGAAATTGAACAAGGTAAATTAGACACATTTATTATGATTTGTTTTTAATTTATTTACAATACAATGTGAATGTTGGCATTTATTTGTGTAACTGTTATGGCTAAATTGCTGAACCAATTTGGTGAGATTTGGTAGGTGACAGATGAAATTGAAATTGGAAAATCGGTAAGATTATTAGAAAAGTTATCTACATAGAACAGGACAGTGTTTATATATTTTTAAGAATGATCTATTTATTAACAATAAATTAGTAAAAAGGTTAGAAAATTAGTGATATTTAATTTACCTTGGCAACCCATCCCTTGAGTTTATCATGCTTCTGTCCAGTGGCCTGCATCCATATCTGGTCTGATATGACATTCTCAGAGAACAATATGCTGGGAGCCACGTACGAGTAGCCTGGAAACGAAATATTTTGGTTAATAGTGTCATAAAATTAATTTATAAATCTTGACTTGTAGGATTTATCAAAAATAATTATTTTCGATTCCCGGGTCTAGCAAAGTATTATTGTTTTTTTTAATTCTCAGTAGTAGCACGAAGTCTGGAATTGTGCCCAGTATATAGCAATAGGCTCACCCCCTGTTACATAGCACTCATAATGAAAAGTGGGTGTTACATTGTACAGTGGCATTAAGTGCCGTAATATGCACCTCTGCCTACCCCTTCGGGGATAAAAGGCGTGATGTTATGACGACGACAACGTAACCATCTAGTAGAAGATCTCCATAAAGTATAAAATAACTGAAAAACTTACCAAGGAACAATTTGTCGTGATGTTTAGGCGCCTGAGCTGGTGAGTCAGTGGGCGGCATTCTAGTGAACTCGTCAGCGAAATTGCAGGTGTCCGCCGCGTGTGTGAGGACTGGGACGAACGGGGCCGGGATCTCACGACGAGCTACTGCCTCCCAATCCAGGTTCTGAGGGGGAGAATATTGGTTATAGAGTGGACTTTATAGAGAAGTTAAAGACAATATAAAGATATTGATAGTATGCTGCTTATGCATGGGTGCGTTTATAGATAATCCCATAAGAGAAAATCTCAGTATTGCGATGGGGCCCAGTAAGGCTGGCGGAGGACTTAATCGGTTACCGGGGCTCCGGCTCGAAGAACAGGAGTAGGAACGGGATGGTTATTAGTCAGAGGCTGACACTCTCCCTCGCCTCACCCGGACAAGAGAAGTCATTGATTTTCTCGCCTCAAAAAAAACTTGGTAATGTATGAGGATATCTAACCTGGAAGAAGGGATGCCTCTTCAGCTCCTCCGCGTCGTGCTCACCGCCACCGAGCCTGCGTCGGGGGTCTTTCACCAACAATCTATGGAAAATAAATTTGTTGTATTAGAAAATGTTATATTTATTACTTTAATAAGTCTTTTTCAACCAGAAATGGCTAGTTCGTTCATGACATACTACTACTACTACACGATTTTAAATGTATATTTGGAACAATGCGCATTTTACAAGCGAAGCAACGATATATTTTGTGACAGTATGTAACTCAAAAACTACTTAACCGCTATAGATGCAATTTTATACCCTTATAGATTTTATCGTCCAAACGAAGGTTTTTTATGAACTTTTTACTCATGAAAATTCTATGAAGCAACTTATTAACATTATATACATATCTTTACGCCTCTCTCCCATGTGGGTAGACAGAGACTATGGAATGCTAATTGCTACGATTCTTAAATACATCTTTCGCTTCATTGACAGTCATCAGTCTTTTCATGCTAATCGTCGGTTAAGGGTACTTAACAGCTTATTAAATTTGTGTAAAACAAGCACTTACTTCCTAATAAAGTCCTGGACTTCGGGGCTGACATCAGGAGGGACGGGGTAGCTGCACCGGACGATCCGCTTGGTGATCTCCTGCTGGGTGTTCTTCTCACCTTCCACCGTAAAGGGAGAGGCTCCCGTCAGGAGTTCATAGGTCAGAACTCCTACAGACCACCAGTCTACAGCCTGTGAACAAGAGAAGATGGAGATTTAGTACATAGAATAAAAAGAGATTTTGACAGAGATTACAGTTTCTTATTCTTAAAATTTTTATTTTTTCTTAAAAAACGTTGCCCCACACTAGGATTTTCTCCTGTATCGTGGGTGCGTTTACAAACATACAAGTTCACATACACATGACACTCAGACCCCGAACAACAATAGCGATAGGTTCGTCTCCTATGTTATGCTTATTTAAATAATCGCTTATTATGAATATAGAAAACCAATTTGTTAAATCAAAATAAAATTTAGTATTAAGTAAGTTATGTACCAATTTTCCTTGAATAAAAGTAGACAGTAGGTTCAAGTTATTTTTAACCCGGGTCATTAGCCGTATGAATCGACGTTTGAAATATTGATGAACTTAAGGTTAGACTACAACAATACAAGTCGTTGCTCTTTCAAAAAGATAATAAGAAAGCATTATTGTTTTGTAATGTTAATGTTATTAAAATAGTTATTTTTGGAGATGGAGTGTGGATTTCTTTTATAGTTCATAGGTTGGCGCTTGGCCACCATCTCGCCTGATGGTAAGCGATGATGTGGCCAACGATAGAGTTTTTCTAAAACAATTACTTTTCAATAAGTCCACAAACAATGTTTAGAAATTTAGACCTCATAATCATATAAAAATAAAACGATCGTGTTCAGAATTTTTAGTGTCATTCAAGACTACATGCTGTAGTCGTGAACGTAAAATCTAATTTTGAATAGTTTAATTATAATATAATAATTTAAGCAGTGCCATTCAACGTGGCAATGCTGCCAGCCTTTTGAACAACCCTACCTTACGATAACGATGATGAAAAAATGTTTGATGCCTTAACTTAACTATTTACTAACTAGGATTTTATTACTACTAGGTTTTTTTTATTTTTTAAGGTGTAAATATTTAAATTTTTAGTTATTCGTATTTATAATATTACTTAGTTCCATGGAAAGATTACTTAATTATTTAGAAATAAATATAAAGTCATTTGGAATAACATAAAAATCTTACTTTATACATAGTTTTATTCCATAAATAATTATGTATGTTCTTATGTAGTATGTAAATGCAACATATTTAACAACGAGGAAACCCCTATATGTATGATTGTACGTCTCGATTCCAAGAGCGTTTAGAATCGTTTTATCGATACAGATAGTGTTTCGGCCTTGGCTGAAGAACGGCTACATAGTACATACATTATCGGAAATGAATTAATAAGTGTACATAGTACGCTGATATTGTTAACTGAGTGTTTTCTTTTTATATAAACAAACAGTAGAAATTGGCTCAGTGTTTTTGAAGTTAGTTTCTTTATTTGTGAGGCAAATAAATGGAAGGAACGCTTAACCCGTCGAGCGTCCACGTTCCTTATGATCTAACGGCTGCACACGTGACATTTGGAAAAAAAAAAGAAAATGCATTTATTTGGCCATTGGCACACGAAAACAAGGATCATTACAATATAAATAAAAAATACAATCAAAATAAAAACAAAACATTAATAATAGATTTTATAAAAGAGAAAGCAGCATGGAGCATTTTTCTTATGATCCACCGGGAGCTCATAAGGACGTTCGAGGGGTTAAGGGTTTTTTTTACATCACATCATCACGATTTGTTTAGTATTTTAGACTCGGGAAATCATGACACGTTTGGATAACCTTGTCTTTATAAAAGAAACTTTCTATTGATAACTATTGGCCAATCTCTCCCCTATTTTTAAATACAAAGTAGCTTAAAATCTGCATAATGTACTTCTACAGACACTGTCTACCTACCACTTCTGATCACAACCCAATAACAAAACCAAATCTACAATCAAAACATTACTACACAACATACCAATACAATACATAACATAATATACAACCATGCATATATGTATATCTGAATGCATCTGAATTCACGTGCAATATTTATACTTAAATAATCATGTACATAGATAAGTGTACAGAAAACACGTGCTGTATACTATATTAAATATTCACACGTACTTTTTATAGTGATATCAAGATGTTTGTCTTATATTGTGATCACTCATAGAATGATCATGCTCAAAAAGTGATTTCTACGCAAATTTTTCTTTAATAAAAACATGATGTGTCTATCTGTATATAAAAAGTAAATATTGACAACATTTACACTAGCAAATCTCCATCCAATCATCACCATTTTATTTACAAACTAAAAATAGGACATAAAAATATCATACTAAGAAAATGTTTTCCTAAGACAACATGTCAATTTCCACGACCGGCGAAGATGACCGAACGCTTCCGAAGTTTACCGAGTTAAACGAACGCGCGCACGAGTCGATTTCCGGAGGAACCTTGGCGACTTACATTAACACCAGACGAAGAGGCTTATGTATTATAAACAATTACTTTATTTAAACACAGTAAAATTACCATATTCTATTAATTCAATGTCTAATTTAGGAAATGAAAGTCATAAGTATACACAGGATGATAGTAAATAGAGGGTGTGTAAACAAGTGTTGGTAAATTAAGAGCCTATTTCAGCCAGTTACCCCTTATCATGGTAACGACCTCTTTTCACAATTTGTCCTTTAGATAACCGCGGCTATATTTAGACGTGCGAATATATGATATGTTATATATTTAGATCGTTTGCTCACGGTATGGTTATAAAGTGTATTAGTGTTGTTTGCTTTGCAGTTTACAGAAAACTTTTCACATAATCCTATTTGTTTTTTCATGAAGGTGGACACACAGGCGTTTCTATTGTGTATATTATGCATTAATCATGACAATGACATTCAAAAATGCCTTTACTGATCTAATTATAAGTTTGACCATATCATTACTATGTAGGAAAAGGATAGAGTGAACGCCCAAAAGCGACACTAGCGCCAAATGCATTGACGAGAAAATTGGGTACTAATAGTTTTAATGAGAAACTTTTACTATAGGATTATAATTACTTTGTTTTAGAGTTTTCTAAAACAATACTTTGTAATCAATTAATAATTAACCAAGTTGTTAAGGATTTCGATAAGAAGTATTATTATAGAAGCACTCACGGTTGCTAAGCAGTTAGAAGTACCTATTTGAATGATTTTAATTAACATACACATAGATACTAGTTTTAGGGTCGATTTTTCAATGTTCAGGTAAATTGTATCAGAGGAGTAACTTTGAATATTTGACAATTCTTACATAATAATAGTATCTCAAACGAACCAGTACTTTCAGATATAAGTGCGTTCAAACAAACAAACAAACTTTTCAGCTCTTTTATATTATAAAAAAGTAAAAGATATAGATAGATAGTAGTAATAGTAGCAGTTTGGAATTATTGTACCGGGTATGATATTATGTCAATAGGCTCACATTTATATCACATCACCTATTACAATCATAACTGGTGGAAACTGGTTATTATATATCTATGTAAACTTTTGCCTAACCCTTCAAAGATTTTTCATGTAATGTTTCATTTTCCACCTCGACATTTAAGTCTCAATATTTTTCTTTATAGCACGAGTCTAGTTATTGCGTTTGTTTTTCCCGGAAGAGATCTCATAAACTGCCGCATCGATTTTAATAGACATAAATGTGTTCTTGGTACTTTATTTATTTATTATCCTTAACGTCCTTATTAACTGAACTGGTACTGAAATTGATTTAAAGATAGGAGTATGATATTATTGGATAATTGAATCGTGTGGTGACGGCGAAGTGGACTGCGTTTGTCACCAATCACCACCACCACCACTTACTTTTACCCTTGGTTGTAAGCTGACTGAAATTGGGTAGCAGCCATTTCTGATTAACCTAAACATTTTATTAGATCTTCAACCAGTGGTCAGTATCAAGTGTGGAGATTATGTTAAAGTCTCTTATGGCCCATAGTCCAGTGGACTGTCCCGAGTTGTTGATGTTGTTGAATGCGTTGCCAACTTTCGCGTCCGTAACGGAAGTGTGAAAAAATAAACGAAGACCAGTTAATTTTAAAACACATTAGGAGACTTCAGTAAAACGAAACCAACGATACTACTAGATAGAAGACATTACTATCAAATTCGAAAACAATTACAATATAAGTTTTCTCTAACAACTAATAAAAGAAAAGCAAATAAGACTTTACTGCATAAAACTTACAGCATAAATTACATTAAATGCAACGTCTAGGAACTGAACCTTGAACGTGGAAGGAGCGAGGCCATAGCAGCAGTCTTGCGGAAGGTTACACTACCTAACGATCATCATTCAAAAACAAACTTTAAACGAAACGTTATAAAGTCGACATTCACATGGTATATTAAGAACAAGTTCAACTCTGAATTAAAGTGAGCTTTATTTAGTTAGTTATAAGGTTGTAAATGGCTCGTTAAGTTTGTGTATAATCTAGGGCGTTGAGTAGTTTTTGGCAAGTGCTTTGGTTGGTAACAAAAGTAATTTTACCGTATGTACGAAGAATGTGTTTGTTGGAGATATTAGTAGATATTTTCTTTTATACTTAAGTTCCTAGTTTGTATGCACTGGTGTCGCCTTGAAGGGATTACTGTGAAGATAATGATAATAATAATATGAAGCCATTACTGCTTTCTCTATACTTCCGCATCTTTTAACCAGTGACAACCTTCACGTTGCATGCCACCTAGACTTAGCTAAAATGATGTTAAGTTTTATCTACCTATATTAGTTAAGGGCTTTAAATTTAGGAGAGATTGGTGAATTTTTGAATTAAAAATCTCAAACTTAATTATTGTATCAGCCATAGGACGTCCACTGCTGAACATAGGCCGCCCCGTATGACTTCCAGATAGGCCGGTTGGAACCTACCTGCAACCTAAGCTCTTAATGCACTTTGTTAAATATTTTATATACAACTAGCAAACCCGTCGAACTCCGTTTCGCCACCAGATGGCTTCGTTTTATGTAACATTTCGTTCGGTGATTAGTGAATTTTCTTTGCTATATAAACCTCACGGAGCCCGAGACCTTTCCAACGAATGCAAAACCGTGGAAATCGGTTCGTGCGTTCTGAAGTTATAGCGTCAGGAAGCAGAAGGTAACCCGACTTATTTTTATATAGTAGATAGTACTAAAAAACTCATCGAAACCAATACACCAATACATTTTATTCCAATTACCATAAACTGCAGTATAACATCCAAGTCTTCATGAAAAGTGGATACTTTACAATGCCGTGCTTGGCACTGAATCTAGCCTACTCGAAATTATATTAGGTAATGTTGTTATGACGACCTATATACCTAAATATTAAGTAATATAGGGGAAGGTTACTTATAAAATAGCTACATTGAAAGTTGGCACATGAAAGTATACTATATCTTTTATTAAATTTTCAACTTAATCACGAATATATAAGGTTATAAATCTTCAAAACAATTAATAGTTTCAGGATAACTTGATGTCTGGTCATTACCTTTAGTCAAAAGACAAGATGTTGCGTTAACTCAATAGTGACTTGGGATAAGGGTTTGAAGATAGAAATATTTTATTCGTTTCTTTCTTAATGTAACCTAAATACCATTTGAAATACTTGTTACCTAATATCTAAAATCTAAAAAATCTAATATCCAAAAAAAGTTTGTGTGTTTGTATCTGAGTTTGTTACTCAATTACGTGAAAACGGTTGAAGGGATTGGGTTAAAATTTGGAACAGGGCTAGATTATGGAATAACACGTCGGTTACTTTTTATCCCACAGGAATGTCGCGGAGACCGGGGCTCCGGCTCGACGTGCAGGAGAAGGAACGGGGTGGTTTTTAGTCAGTAAGAGTCTGACACTCCCTCCCGCCTCACCCAGGCGGGAGGAGTCATTCGATGATTTTCCCCCCTTAAAAAAAATCCCACAGGAATGCGGGCGAAGCCGCGGGCAGAAGCTAATATTATGTATGTATACCTCTGTCTACCTCTTTAAAGCCACTATAAGCAAACAAGTAAACACTGATACTACAAGTTTCCAAGTACATACAAATAGTAAATACGGCAATTATTCAAAAGAACCGGGTTAACGAACACACAC